GCTTAACCGACTGCGCCACCCAGGCGCCCCAATTACTTTTAAAGCAGAAATGGCAAACTTATAACCAAGTTAGCCCTATTTTATGAAAATCTCATTACATATAAATTATACCAGAGTTATCATACTGGTAAATTTAGTGGTCCATAATAGCTTTATCTTAGACTTTAAACTCATTTTTATGTGAGTGCCCTTCAGATTTTTATTTCCTGCAATTAAAATATAAACGCAAAAGCAAATATACATAGTGGTTTCTTAGGACTTTGGTTTCCTATGGTTTAAAACACCATCATGACAATATAGAAAAAAATGTTGGTATGTTTTACCCATATATATGAGTACCTTAAATATACATGTGTGTATATATCTCTGTGTGTGTATGTGTATTTCAGGGGCTTATGTATGCTATATATATATTTAAGTAAACTAAAAAGATGTAAGAACTATATAACCTATCAAGTGTACCTTTTAGAAACTCTGTACTAGTCAAATATTCTAGAATTTCATTTTAATGTATTCTGTTACGACTACCCAGTGTTATATCATATTGGAATAGATATGATATTCAAAAAAAATAATGCATGTTTATATGCTGTAGGTATCCAATGTCTACTATGTACTTAAGATCAAAATATAGAAAAAATTTTAATTTTAAAACCTCAATTAAATTCCATAAAAATCAAGAAAAGTAACCATTGCCAACTATCTCAAACTGCACTAATTGCCAGTTACTAGATTATCCTTGTACATACTTTATCTTGTAAAAAAAAAAAAAAAAAGTATAAATATAAGCTTGGGCAATCACTGTTAGTCAGTTAGCTCCTGATAACTATACAGGCATTAATCAACTGTGGATTGGCCCCAGTACCTGGAGACGCCTCTCTCTTGAAGTTTCCTCTCTCCACAGCTCAAGTCCAGGCATCTCTGTCCCCCAGACCACTGGCATTCCTGGGAGGCATCAAAGGGGGACAGAGAGCATCAGCTAATGTCACCCTGGTTCTGTTACCTATGTTAAGATCTTCCATGTTATAAGAAATAAGGGAGAGGTGGCCAGGTAATAAGCCAAGAAAAACATAAATTTTATTTGATATAATTACTAAGGCCTAAAAATGATGGTATAGCATAAATATTTCACATCATAATATAATAGGAAAAATGCACCCCAGAAAAAATATTAATATATACTGGAAAATAGTATTACAAAATGTTTTAAATCAGGTTATTCTCTTCAAAGGTATATCTATCTGCCACTTGCCCCTGCACACCCTAATGGGGATGACATTCCCATATCAGTGTGGGAGTAATTATGGTCCCAGGAGAAAGAAAATTAGGAACACCAGTTAACTTATTGCTAGTAACACTTGGACATGGGAAAAATTCATGCCTGCCATGAATCTCAGTGATCTGTGAACAGGCGTCTGCTTGTTGCCATGTCACTCAGTATCTATCTCCATTTCATAATCCTACCTAGCATCTCAGGCCTGGTAGAGATTACATCCTAGGCCATCCCAGGCCTGCCTTGACCTCCTACATAAACATTAATTCACATACAAACATCACCAAAACCTTAAAAAGAGGATCAATTCTAAACTCAGTAAGAGTTATGTCTTCAGGGGCACCTGGGTGGCTCAGTTGGTTGAGTGTCCAACTTTGGCTCAGGTCATGACCTCACGGTTTGTGCGTTCAAGCCCCGCATCGGGCTCTGTGCTGACAGCTCAGAGCCTGGAGCCTGCTTCAGATTCTGTGTCTCCCTCTCTCTCTGCCCCTCCCCTGCTCATGCTCTTTGTCTCTCTGTCAAAAATAAATAAACATTAAAAAAAAAAAGTTATGTCTTCAGAGGCACCTGACTGGCTCGGATGGTGGAGCATGTAACTCTTGATCTCGGGGTTGTAAGTATGAGCCCCGCTTTGGGTGCAGAGATTATGTAAAATAAAATCTTTAAAAAAAATTATGTCTTCAATATTAGACAATAACATTCATTCAAAACCGAAATGGAAACTGCTTACAGGCAAAAAACAAGTCTACCTTTTTCATGTAATTTTTAAAAACTGGCTGGAAAATAGTTTAAGATCTATTAAATACTATATAATGTCTCCTTTAAAAGGCCTTTTAATGTGAAAAAATAAAGCAATGACACCTCAGTAGCAGTGAGTACACCTAACACCGAGATGTTGATTGTTAAATACTATTCTGCAATAAAAAAGAATCGGGGCTTCTTAGGGAGGTAGCTGATTACAGGGCTAGCACAGGAAAAACGCAAGATGAGCATGGGGCATCTTGTGATGCCAGAAAGGAAGTGCTCAAAAGAAGGGTGGGGGTGGGGGGGCATGTCTAAAGGACATAGGAGCCAACCTAAAAAGGCACCAATGCTCAAATTTGTAATGATTTGGTTAATAAAGTAAATAATGATAGTACTAGATTATAACCCAAATAATAAGTATCCTTGAGTTCCCATTGATATAGATAGGTGGATGGATGAGCAAGAAGGGACAACTTTTCCTTATAAAAGAATTCTAACTAATAAATACAGAAGGAGTGAGGAAAATGAAAAATCACTATTAGAACACCAGAATAATTGCTGCAGGTAAGATACACTTATGGATGACTAAATTAGCAGGCAAAGTATGGAAAACAAGATACTGCACAGTCTCAGTCTCTAATAAAATAAACACTTACTTACTAATTACAAAGAGAAAAATAGTAACTTTATAGTGGATTAGCCTGGGAGACATCATCTTAACCAAGTGATCAAGGTTTAAATCACCAATAATGCGACATTTTAATTTTAACATCCTGTACTCCCTAATATGATGTACTGAGAAGGACGCGTCATATCTGGGGTATTCTTCCCAGTAATTAATAACCTCAGACTAATTATGATAACACACCAGAAAAAAACAAAATTGAAAGGCATACTACAAAATATATGAACAGTATTCTTCCAAAGTATCAAGGACATGAAATACAAGAAAAGATTGAGGAACTTCCACAGATTGAAGAGGACTATGGAGATATGATATCTACATGCAACGTAGAAACTGGATTGGATCTTGAAACAGAAAAAGCACATTAGTAGAAAAACTGGTGAATCCCAATAAACTCTGTGGTCTAGTAAATAGTATCATACCAATATCTATTCTTGTTTTGGATTATTGTACTATGTTTATGTAAAATGTTAACTTTTGACAAAGCTAAATGAATGACTTTTGTAACTATGTAAGCCAAAAAATGTATCAAAATAAGGTTAAAAAAGTAACATCTCTACTTCATATCATATATAAAAAGTAACCCAAAGTGGACTAAAGACCTAAGTGTAAAAGTTAAAACTACAAGTCTTTTTTTTTTTTAATGTTTACTTATTTTGAAAGTTCACAGGAGTGGGGGAGTGGCACACAGGAGGAGAGAATCCAAAGCAAGCTCCACACCTTCAGCTCAACGACATGGGGCTTGATCTAACAAACCATGAGATTATGACCTGAGCTGAAACCAAGAGTCAGATGCTTAACCGACTGAGCCACCCAAGCACCCAAAAACTACAAAAGTCTTAGAAGACCACACAGGAATAAATCTTTATGACTGTGCATTAGCCAATGGTTTCTCAGATATAACAAAAGCATAAGCGACCAAAGAAACATAAAGTGGACTTCATCAAAATTTAAAACTTTTGTGCTTCAGGGCACCTGGGTGGCTCAGTCAGTTAAGCATCCAACACTTGATTTTGGCTCAGGTCACAATTTCACAGTTATGAGACTGAGCCCTATAATGGGCTCCGTGCTGGTCGTGGAGCCTGCTTAAGATTCTTTCTTTCAATCTCTCCCTCTGCCCCTCCCCCTCTCACATGCATGTGCTCTCTCTAAATGAATGAATGAATGAATGAATGAATGAATGAATGAATAAAAATAGAGAACTAAAACATAAAAAACAAAACAAAAACTAAAAAACTTTTGTGCTTCAAAGAACACTACCAAGAAAGTGAAGACAACCCACAAAATGGAAGGAACTACTTGCAAACATGTATCTGATAAGGATCTAATATACAGACTATATAAAGAATTCTTACAATTCAACAAAAAAGTCAAATAACCCAATTTTTTAAATGGATAAAGAATCTAATTAGACATTTCTCCAAAAAGATATACAAATGGCCAATAAGCACATAAAAGGCCACTCGACACCATTAGTCATCAGGGAAATGCAAATAAAATTAAAATAAGATACCACCTCAAATCCACTAGGATGGCTGTAATCACAGACAGACAGTAACAAGTGCTTACAAGATACGGAGAAATTAGAACCCTCACACATTACTAATGGAAATGTGAAAATACAGTCACCCTGGAAAACAGCTTAGTAGTTTCTCAAAAAAGTAAACATAGAGAGTTACTTTATGACACAGCAATTTCACTTCACTCCAAGACAAGTGAAAGCATATGTTCATACAAAAACTTACAAGTGAATATTCATAGCAGCATTATTTATAATAGCCAAAACTGGAAAAAAATCCAAATTTCCATTGAATGATGAATGGATAAACCAAATGTTATATTTCCATATACTGATATCAAATTCAAAAAATGATAGAAAATTCAGCCATAAAAGGAATGAAATACTGATATATACTACAACATGGATGAACCTTGAAAAAATTATACTAAGTGAAAGAAGCCAGACAAAAAATGCCATAGGTTGTGATTCCATGCATATGAAATGTACAGAATAGGAGAATCCAGAGAGACAGAAAGTAGATTAGTGGTTGCCAGGGTCTGGGGCGGGGCGGGGGAGCGGCAATAGATCATGACTGAAAGAGGACATAAGGGAAATTTCTGGGGCAGTGATAATATTTCTATTTCTTGATCTCTATGGTAGTGAATGGTATGCTCACTTAATGTAAATTCACAGAACTTAGGATTTATATGCTTTCCTACATGTATGTTATACTGCAATAAAAAATGTTTACTTACTTTAAAAAGTAAAAAAAATGGCCTGACATCACAGTATCAGAACAGGATGGACCTAAGTCTAAGAGTCCAGCTCATTCAAGACCTAAACTATGCTACTGGAAATGTGATCAGTTTGCCCATGGAATAGACAGTGAAGCATTTCTCTCTAATAAGAGTAAAGTTAGATACAATTGTTCATGTTTCACATCATTCATCACCAAGTACTTGTGAATGGACTAGATGGCATGGGAACATCCCAGATAATCTCCATATTGAAATTATACAATTTCATAACAGAACCAGAGCTTAGTAACACTGAAGAAGCCTCTGTAAAATCTGGGAGCCTAAGCTCAGGAGGCCACTAAAGCTTTAACTCTCAAACCAGAGACCTACATCAAGCTACTATGAAGTGCTACAAGTTCACAAGGAAATGTACAGGCCATTATTGGTACCTGAAAACCATCCTATTATAACCCTCACTGTTTAATGGCCTACTATCCATGATACACTGTAAGCTAGTTGAGGGAGGGTTGATCAAGGTTTTATCTCCAGAACACAATGGTGTCTGGATGTGGTAGTTGCCCAATATCTGATGAATAGACAGTTCAATGAGACGGTCCAGCAACATGCAATTAAACGTAACACCCATTTTTATTAAGACAGTAAACTTGCTGAGGATCAAATACTGAGGTTATGGAACACCCAGTTTAAGAGGGAAAGAAAGGAAACAACCCTTCACACAACTGCCTTTCACTCTTCTCACAAAAATAAACAAGAAACTTTGCTAGGATAAAGTAAACTATGGTGACTACTTCTGGCTCCACCTTGCTAAGGCATAAAGGGGAATAACTCAAAAAAGCAGAAGTGAAAAAGAAAGGGGAGTCAATTCTTTCACTGCTTTTAAAAAAAATGACATAGAAGTTCGCCTTCACTCCAGAGCAGAGCTTTATCTTCAATGTGTTTTTTTAAAAATTTGGTGCAGGGTGCACCTGGGTGGCTCAGTCGGCT